ATCATCCTTGAATGGGACCTAAGTATCAAATGAGTAAAGAAAAGAAAGGCTGAGGTGGTAATGTTCAAAGTTGATGGTTTGTGGGACACCATTTAGGGGGTGTGGAAAGGGTCAGGTCCCCTGTATGCATAATTTTGGGGTAGAGAGTAGGGCTGATAAGTGTCATGCAATACCCAGGACTGCCTTATGTGACCAAGTGTCACTCCACAAAGCTTTCAGATACCTTGCCCAATATTTACATCGGTGAACCACACGTTCGTAATTATCTGAGCCTCGAAGTTGGAGGCATAAGGTGTCGTTTCTGGTTTTAGTATGCCCTGCATGTTCCAGAGTGAAAATCTTTCTGCTGGAGAGAGAACTGTAATTTGCATGCTTTGGGACTCTTTCTTCGCTCTTTGGAATCATTTAAAAGTACATGGCATCTCTTCCTGAAGCAAAATTTCACTGCTTTGTTAACAGTGCTTCTGTGGTTTCAGGTTGTGAGCTGTCTCTGTGATGTTGTTGGACATGTGTTGAGCTTCCCACAAGGCCTGTGGATTTCCACTTGTGGGACACAGAACGCTGCTGAGAGAGAAAGTGTTGTCACCAGACTGTGTCACTTCAGGAGTTTTATGTTTTGCCTTCAGATCACAACTGGATCCTTAGAGTGGAACTTGAACTTTGAACTCAGCGTGCGAGTGTTTTTTTGGAAGCAAGGGCACATGCTGTAAATGCTGGCAAAATCTCCACATTATAATCGAGGTAGCATTTCCCTAGTCTTAGCTTTCATGGGAAACCTATGTAATATTTGGATGAGGGTAAAATTTTGGAATCTGTATGCATTCCCAGTAGAGCTGTATGCTTCTCCAATAATGTATGCTACATATGTAATTTGAAAATTCCAAGTATCAAATTAAAAAAATAGCAAGATGAGGGATGGCTGTTGTGCTATATTACATTACCTTACAGCAGGGTAAGCCACCTGAGGCCCGCATTACTTACCGCAGTGCTAGTCCGAGCCCTGGCACTTCTGCTTTCCATCCAGCTTCCAGGCAGCAGTGATGGCTCAAGTGCTCCAGCCCTTGCCATCCACGTAGGAGACCTGGGTGAAGTTCCTGGCCCCTGGCTTTGGCCTGGTCCCACCCTGGCTCTTGCAGTCATTTGGGGAGTGAACCAGTAGATGGAAGATCACTCTCTCTTTCTCTCTCCCTCCTTCTCTCCCTTTCAAATAAATAAACTAAAAGAAGACAGTTATTTAAAAGCCAATGAAATTAGTTATAAGAATGTGTTTTGTCTGCACTAAATACCATAATTTCAACATGTATTATTTTTAAAAAATTGAGATGTTTCACATTTTACACACGGTATTCAAATCATTGTGTGTTTTAAACTCACAGCACTGAATATGGATTCAAAATATTGATCTATATTTAAATTTCACAAAGTTTAGAGTTGAAAAAATAGAGGTATCTACCCCACGATGTCCTACACTTGCTTACAGGTTTTCCAATATGAAGCTTACAGGTTTTCCAATATGAGTCAAGTATCTTTTATAAATTTATATTAGAATTAATTGTAGTCAGGGCCGGCGCCGTGGCTCAATAGGCTAATCCTCCACCTTGCGGCGCCGGCACACCGGGTTCTAGTCCCGGTCGGGGCGCCGGATTCTGTCCCGGTTGCCCCTCTTCCAGGCCAGCTCTCTGCTATGGCCAGGGAGTGCAGTGGAGGATGGCCCAGGTGCTTGGGCCCTGCACCCCATGGGAGACCAGGAAAAGCACCTGGCTCCTGGCTCCTGCCATCGGATCAGCGCGGTGCGCCGGCTGCAGCGGCAGCCATTGGAGGGTGAACCAACGGCAAAGGAAGACCTTTCTCTCTGTCTCTCTCTCTCTCACTGTCCACTCTGCCTGTCAAAAATTAAAAAAAAAAAAAAAAATTAATTGTAGTCAAATGAAATTAAAAATTCATTCCTTCAGATTCATTAGTCGCCTTTAAGTGTTCAGTGGCTCCATGTTGCTACTAGTAGCTGTTGGACTGGACTGTGCAGTTGTATATTATTCTTTTCTTAAAAAAAATTTATTTACTTATTTGAAAATCAGCATTACAGAGAAAGAGGGACACACACACACACACACACACAGAGAGAATCTTCCATCTGCTGGTTCACTCCCCAGATGGCTGTATTACCTAGGGCTGGGCCAGGCTGAGGCCAGGAGCCAGGAGCTTTTTTCGTGTCTTCCACATGGGTGCAGGGACCCCAGCACTTGGGCCATCCTCTGCTGGTTTTCCCCGGCCATTTGCAGGGAGCTGGATCGAAAATGGAGCTGCCGGGACATGAACTGTTACCCATATGGGATGCCGGCATTGCAGGCCTTACTGGCAATGCCACAATGCTGGCTGTAGGTTATTCTTAAAGTCTTATCTTTCTGTGGTATGATTTCATTTCCTAAGTGCTACTTTTCTGTTTTCTCAGGTTATTGTTTTTGTAGAACTGGTCTGTGCCACCTAGTCCCTTTCAGACAGGGTTAACCGGATCAGACTGATTTATGGAGGAGAAGTGGGTCTGCATCTGTGTGTTTCCTCCCCAGGGCAGGGAAGTGACTCAAACGCAGGGGGTGGTTCGTAAATGTCCATCTGTCTCAGTGGTTCAGTCCTCACAGGGTAACTTACATTTCGCTTTCTTAGGGAAGCATTTCCCGATCTTTGGTCCGGCCCTTGCTCTTTTTTCTCATGCAGTTGAGACCTTGTGCTCCAGAGCCTAAATGTGTACACACTGATTTGAGGCATTTTGTGGTGCATATCCATCTCCCCGATTCAGCTATAAGTTCCTCGAAAGGAAACCATGTGTGCTTGCTCTCTCAAGTCTCCCCTCGCATAGTACAAGGCAAGTGGCAGGTATGCAATAGATATTGGTCAGATAACAATAGCATAGGGCATTCATAACGTGGAGCCGTTGGCGAAATGTCCAGTTCTTAGCTCTGTAGATGTTGCAGTTGGGGTCAGGTCAGGAAAATAGGCATATTTCATCTTAAGGATTTTTATATCCACTAAAATATATGCAGATTCTTAGCTTTTATTCAAGCCTTTTCAAAATACTCATGTAAATACGCCTTTTCTTGGCTTTATTGCTATTCATTTTCTTGAAGTGTCTATCACCTCCTGTCTGTCTCTGCATATGATTTAAGGTGCATCTAAGACAATAAACCAAGGAAAAGGGAAATTCGTGAAAGACTTTTGAGGAGCCTCGCCAGGTGCAAAGAGGCAGCAGGCCGTGTTGTTTCTGGGCAGTTTAAAATAAGCCCACTCCCTCTAATTATACCAGAGTAATGAGCCTTCCCCACAAATGTGAAAGTATAATTAAAAATGTGTGGTGGGCCAGTGGACCAGGTTGTCAGGTCATTATCTGAATCATAAAGTTGGAAGTAATGTCTATTAAAGGTTACCAGTTTGGAAAAGTTAGATTAGAATTTAGTCTTTGCAAACATACAGTTTCTCAATGGGAATTATGCTTTAGAAAAGCCCCGGCAGTTGGCTTTTCCTCTTAACTTTTCACGAAAGCGTAACACCAGTACAGAAATGTATTCCTAGCAGTGCAGCCTGGTGAATTTTCACATCAGATCAAGAAATAATACATTCTCCTTGCCACCATCCCAGAAACCGGCTCTCTCTCCGCCTCCCCTCCCACCTCCTGTCCCGACACCACCCTCCTGGCGTAGATAAGTTTTTCCTGTTTTTATGCTTTGCAATACATGGAATCGTGCAGGCTCTGCATTTAACCTCCGATAATAGATCATCATTCTAAATGACATTCCCGATAGCAAATTCAAGGAAAACAAGGTCTGTTTTCCTCTTCCTGTATGTTTTCAATTTGCTAAGCTGGTCGTTTGCCACTAACTGTGGATCTTTATTATTCCTTTAAGAAAGATGTAAGTGAGAGCGTGTGTGAGTGTGCCTGTGCGCGCACACCATGTAGGTATGCATATGCTTTCAAAAATCTCCCTCCAATTACATCCTGCTGTGCTCTGCATAGCCTTCAGCACTCAGCGATGGGCCTTACAGGTCTTTTCTTCCCGGCTCACGCAGATCAGCTTTGCACGCCCTTGTACAGCCGCACCACAATTTCATGACCCAGCTCTCCACTGAAGATCACGCGGGTCATTTTTGCTGGTCTTTTGGTTTTAGAACAATAGAGTCCATATGGGTTTATCGGTACTTTCTTAGAAGCGGCATTGCAGAGCAGGGATGCCTGCATTTTAAATTCGCTCAGGTACATCTGTCAGTGGCCGTCTGCGGAGTTTTGCATTTCTACTCCTATGAGCAGATTTGAAAATTCCCATATCCAGTGGCCTTGCCTCGTGTTACACGTTACCCGGCTTGTCAGTCTTTGTAGTAGGATGCGGGTAACCAGTGAGTGGTCACATACATTTGCAGTTTTCCTTCGTTGGGAGGTAGCTTAGTTGTTTATTTTTATTGGACGTTTGCGTTTCCATTGGCACTTGTTCCTGTCCTTTGCTTTTCCTCCAGTCATATTTTTCTTAATGATTTCCAGGAACTCTTTCTATATAAATGGAAGTAGCTCCTTTCTGTCATCTGTGGTATATTTTTTTTTTCATTTTTCTTTTTTGGTCTTTCCCATGTTTACAACCATTTTTTTTTCCTCCAAGCAGAAAGTTTTAAATTTGATATGACAAAATGTGCCAGTTTTTTCCTTAGTGGCTTCTGAATTATGTGTGCATTTAATGAGCAAAAAGCATTGGAAACTTAAGACATGCAGATAGCTTAGGCCTGGCATAGGGGGAAAAAAAACCTCAATAACTGTGGGAAATGTGGTTAGGTAGACATTCACATTTTAGTTAAAAAGTGTTTTGACCAGTTCTAAGTAAACAGGAATTTGGACATACTCTAACAAAATTTGTTTAGCATTTTTAACAGCTTTTGGAAGGATTTTCAATGCTATGCTTTTTTTTTTCTTTTCTGCATTGTTGTTTGGGGTTTTAATTTCTCAAATGATCCCTTTCTTTTAGATTTCAAATTCTAACCCATTTCCTGCATCCCTGCTGGCGCCCAGTGAACCCTATCAGAAGTCTTTCCAGGTCAGACACATTTTCACATATTTCAATGCAAATAAGCAGTTGAATATTAGAACTTTAACAAAATCTGTGATCGGTAGCTGTTACGGTGTTAAACTTGCGGCTTGCTTAAATTAACATGTTCTTGGTTTTCCTTGTTCTTCACTAATGTCATAGAAAAATTGTCTTTAAAATCAGGTGCAGGAAGCAGTTAAGCTAACCAAGTATGCATAGCAACTGCATGACTGCTTATATCATCATGTACACGTTTAAGTCGATTACGACAGGAAATTAAAGCTAGTTTTACTGACTAGCATTGTGTGGCTTGGCCTGGGAGCTGGAAGTTGGAACCAGGGTACTGAGTCTCTGTACACAGCACCTGAGATTGCAGCCTCTGAGTGCGGTACAGTGCCCCTGCTCCTGTTCTCCCTGAGTCGAATGCTGATTCAGTTCAGCCCTTCAGAAAACCGACTGAATTTTCTTGTATGTCCTTTCTTTGGGCTCATGATAGATGCTCATTTACACCCCGCCTCGTGTGGGATTTAATTCTAAGCCTCACGGTAACACAAAAAAGGCAAAGCAATTGCACTGACATTTCAGATGGAGCCTACTACAGGATGGCACGTGGCAAAAAGGTCCCTGTAGATTCCTTGTCTCTTAAAAAAAATTAGCGCTCCACAGGTTCTTCTGTTCTTAACGAAGTAAATTGAACCCCAGATAAATAGATGGTAATGTCCCTAAGTTCTAAAGTTAAACTATTATGATTATGTTCAAGCTCTTCTCTCTTTTGTACATAGCACTTAGAGCTTGTTACATTTCAACAAGGAAATTAAAAAAAAAAAAAAAACTCAGGTCAGTAGAGGTATATGAGTGACAGGAAATAGGCTTTTTATAAAAAAAAATTTGCCAAACACAATTAAACAAAGCTCAGTTCACACCGGAAAACCAGGAACTCAGAGCAGGTCCTTAGAGGCTGTCTGATCGTGTTGTGATGGCTGGGGGAGGCTGTGGATTGTCCAGGGAAGTTCATATCTGAATAGACAAATTCACGGAGAAAATCAAGACAAATACATAGATCCCTAAAAATAGTTTACACTTTGAAAATCATTTCTTTTAAGAATCTTCAGCTTTTAGCCGGCGCCGCAGCTCACTAGGCTAATCCTCCGCCTAGCGGCGCCGGCACACCGGGTTCTAGTCCCGGTTGGGGCGCTGGATTCTGTCCCGGTTGCCCCTCTTCCAGGCCAGCTCTCTGCTGTGGCCAGGGAGTGCAGTGGAGGATGGCCCAGGTGCTTGGGCCCTGCACCCCATGGGAGACCAGGAAAAGCACCTGGCTCCTGGCTCCTGCCATCGGATCAGCGCAGCGCGCCGGCTGCGGCGGCCATTGGAGGGTGAACCAACGGCAAAGGAAGACCTTTCTCTCTGTCTCTTTCTCTCACTGTCCACTCTGCCTGTCAAAAAAAAAAAAAAAAAAGAATCTTTAGCTTTTTAAATATTGTCAAGTGGACTCAGGATGAAAACATTAAAGGAATAAGGCAGGCAAATATGTAAACCAATGTGTGTTCTGCTCCAGGTCAGCTCTTAGGTAACCTCTAGAAATTTCTTGCTGCTGTGTTTTGTTATGCTGATACAGTGACTCTTCCTGTTGGGGCTGGGATTGCTGTATTCCTCCTGTATTGCTGTACTGTTGTAGGGGGGTGTGTCTTCAGTCCCATTGTCTAGTCTGTGACTACAGGGGGCCTTTTAAAAAGCAAATATATCAAAATTTCTATTGTTACCTGGCTGAAAAATTCAAGTTCAGCAGCCCATTTCTGAATAGGTCCTCTCCGGATTCTGCTGTTTCATGTTATTTAATATTTTTTGCCTTTTGGAATTGACTTAAGCCCAGTTTGTCAGTTACTCAAGAAAGCATGTAACATTATAGATATCCTCCCTTTTTCCCACCCAAACCAATATACCCAGGCCCGACCATTGAGCTTGTCCATCAGACGTGGCCATAACGTTCTAGAGCTGTCGTTAAAAAGACGGTCATCTTCAGAAGGCATCAAAGGCGTTTATGAAGACTGAAGACAGCTCAGGAACTGAGCAGAGCAGTCATCCTGGGACTTAGCACAGACTTGACCAGGTGACTGCTTAGAAGGCTCTGCTTTGTGTCTCCTCAGTAGCCAGTCATTGCACCTGCCAGGTGTGATGTGGAATGCCACGCGCTCCCTGGCTGGAGGTGCTTTTTCTTCCTTGTCCACTGGTGAACTCCCACTTACTTTGGAAACCCGGCTCAAGCTGTTCCTCTCGGGGAAAGCCTCCCCTAACCCTCTCTCCTGATCCCCAGCCCTGGATTCCACTGAGACCCTGTGCTTCTTCGGCCATTGTGAGTTTATATAATAATGTATCCTTTCTGTCCACTCTCATGGTTTGTAACTGACAAGTAAAAATGGTACATATATTTTGTGTGCACCATATTTTGTATAACCTTGTGGAATGGCTACATTGAGCTAAGTAACTCATGGTTCAGATTCTTTTTTTTTTTAAGAGTTATTTATTTATTTGAGAGGTAGTTACAGAGAGAGGGGTAGAGACACAGAGAGAGAGAGAGGTCTTTCATCTGCTGGCTAACTCCCCAAACGGTTGCAATGGCCAGAGCTGGGCCCATCTGAAGCCAGGAGCTTCCTCCAGGTCTCCCACGAGGGTGCAGGGATCCAAGCACTTGGGTTGTCTTCTACTGCTTTCTCAGGCCATTAGCAGAGAGCTAGATCGGAAGAGGAACAGCTGGGACACGAACCGGTACCCATATGGGATGCCGGCACCACAGGCAGAGGCTTAACCTGTTACACCACAGCACCGGCCCAGATATGTGGCTTTTAAAAGTGGAATCTAATAGCTCACGAGAAGTTCAGTGGGCACTGGATTCAAACCAGAGCCTATTCGGGATGCCAACGCTGCAGGTGGAGGCTTAGTCTACTATGCACAGCACTGGCCCCTTGGTTGAGATTCTCAAAGAAAAGTTCTTGGTGCATGTGTCTTGACTGCTTCATTTCACCTGCAAGGTGGTGCATGAGCCCTCGGGCTGCCTGAGAAGCTCACAGGGAGGTGAGACAGGGATGTGGGACTCACTGTTGAGTGTGAGCAGCCGGTGCAGCTGGCCCCTTGGCATTAGAAAGTTCTGTGGCTCTGATCCTCCACCCTCCCCGGCGAGGGACCCAAGCTGCCTTCTAATCACCTTGGCGTCTGTGTTCACAGAGAACTTCTTATCATTTCTGTCACATGGAAGGTTTGCCTTCATGAGGAATTTCAGGAAACCAGCTTTATTTTGCCTCTGCTTCCTTAAAGGAAAAGAAAAAAAAGAAATCCTGACTTTGTGTCATTTCCGTACTACTTTGAGGTCTGGTTCAGAAGGCAGCGTTCTTCTAGCTGGACGTTTTGCTGCTGACCCCTCCATGGGAGCAAAACTGTGCAGGAGCAGAAGACAAATGAAGAAAACCTGGAGTCTTGCACAAGGACTGGGCAACTGGGGAGCTTTCTTGGGCCCAGTTGTCGACCCCCTCCCGATTGTGCAAGCTTGACCCGGAGCAGAGGGGAGCAGGAGGAATTGTGGAGGGAAGAGTCTCCTGCCCTCACTGAGCAGCCTTTTGTGTGATGGAAGGCTGGGGACTTAGGGAAGGGACGGGAGGAAGAGAAAGCCGAGAGCAGGTGGAGGGCCCAGCACAGGTGTGCACGAGGCTGTGCCTGAGCTGTGCCTAGAGTTTGCCCTGTTGCATGCATCCCAGGGACTCTGTGGCTGGTGGGTCTGAGAAACGCCTGGTTACCCATGAAACCGAAGAGATCTTGGCTTGCCTAATTTTGTCTGGGATTCACAGACATGTGCAGTGTATCAGCTAGGGCCCCTTTACTTACCAGGGTGAGAAAACCTGGCTCCAGGTGCTTAAGCAAGATAAATAAACAAGTCCCTTGACCCTGGAGGTCCAAGGAGGGACATATTTCAGGCATGACCTATCAAGGGCTGTGAACTGGGACCTTAGGAGTTGCTCCTGTTCTCTCTGACTGTTGGCTTTGCTTTCTTGTTTGTGAGATGCCTGCTTGGGCAGATTGTCTCGTCCTGTGACCTCCTGATGTTCTAGGCTTCAGTCTTCTAGCTCAAGAAGAAGTGAATGGAGAGCACTCCTTGTGTCCTTCCGGATTGGCCCTGTAAGCGCAGTCCCCAGTTTTCTCTGGAGCCAGACGCTCTGGCCGTGAGGGTTTTTGCTACTCTGATTGGGTCAGCCTGGGCCATGTGCTGCCTGCAATGAGGGCTGAACCCCTCGAATGCAAGCTCCATGCAAATACCTTTCTTTGTCTGTGTTGTTCACTGTGTTCTCAGCACCTGGAAGCATGTCTGGCACTTAGTAGGGTGCAAATTGTATCTGTTGAATGAGTGATTGGGCGTGGGGGGAGGCAGATTCTCCCAGAACAACTGGAGGGCTGGGAACGGTCTCGCAGGCTGTACCAGGTGGGCCTCCGTGGTGCATGAGGGAGAGCACCGAGGGCAGCGTTGTTCACCCTCGTGATCCACGTGAGTCTGACGTAGGGGTGCTTGCCTCTGACGTAGGGATACGTCCTCTTGCATTGAGTCAGATCTCCACCAGTCACACCCAGACCAGCAAGATGAGTAGATGTGAAGGTGATGGCACAACTCCCGGGCCCCCATCCACCTGCCGGACATCCCGCAGGAGAGCCACAGCCCCGTACCAAAGACCGGTCCTCCTGCTTATTGGCTGTGGGCTTATTGGTTCCCCGTGGGTTTCACTTACTTTGTTCACTGTTGTGTTCTAGGCCTTGGGGAGACTTTCTGACACATTGTAGGTGCTTGATACATAGGAAACTAAAGAATAAGTGATTGAATTAATGAATCAGGAAAAAAGAAACTGGTCAGTGTTCTTTGCCTGACTTTGTAAAAGAAACTGGAAGTTCTGGGAATATAAAAATGAGAGGGAAATGCAAGCAAAAACCACAGTGCAATACCATCTCACACCACTAGGACGGCTGTAATAAAA